CGGCCACCTCAAAGGTCACGCCCTGCAGGGCCGGCACGTACTCCCCTGCGATGGTCAGCAGGAAGTTCTGCAGGTTCTCGCTGTTGCCGCCCAGCCAGTACTGCAGGGACTGCACGAAGTTGCGCGCGTCCTGGGCCTTGTCGCTGGGCAGGTACTTGAGCACCTTGGGCAGGGTGCGCACCAGCTTGAGGAGGCCCTCCTCAAAGTTGTCGTTGTTCTTGCGCGCGGACCTGGCGGGGGGCGGCGGAGAGGGCGGGGCAGCGTAGGCGATGGTGGTGGGCAGAAGGCAAGCGGAGCGGGGCAAAAGCTGACTGTGAAGGTAGAGGCCCTTCCAAGGGGCCACTGCTGCTCACCTGCACGTGTGCAGTAAAAAGCACAACCTGCAGCGCCGCAACCAGCCTGGTTGCAACTCGATCGCAGCCTGCTGCAAGCGGCACATCAACTGCAGCAGCAACACTGCCTTGCAAGCCCGCGGCTGCAGCGTCGGCGCGCCTCTCCCTTTCCATCAGAACCCAGGAACACAAGCCGCGCGCTGCCTGCCCACAGTTTTCGCTGCAGCCCCCCGGCCTCCTCACTTGATGAACTCCCCGATCATGCTCTTGCTCTGGCCCAGCTGCGCCATGCTGAAGGTGCCCAGCTTGTTGAGCTTCATCACAGCGGGCATCGAGGGGAAGATCACGCAAGCATCCATCTTCTCGCGCACGGGGGCCACGGCCTCCACGATCTGGGGGTGGGTGTTCGTTGCGGGCAGGGGGGAGAAGGGGTCATGTTGGCTGTGGGCATTGAGCTGCTGCGCTGCTCTTCGCTACTGCGCCTCAGGACCACTGACGGCTGCACCCTCTCCACTGACCGCGGCACGTTCAGCAGCGAATGGTGACAACAGTTGCTGGGGACGTGAAGTGAGCTCCCTCATACCCCTGCGAGCCTGCGGCGTACACACACAGACGCTGGCACAAATGCAGCCGCGTGGGTGCATGCGAGCATGACACACTCGACCCCTGCTGACCAACACGTGCAGAGTCTCTCCCACTGCCAGCCGCTCTGCCCCCCCCCCCTCCTTGCTCTGGGGCCCCACCTTCTCGGCCAGCTCCTCGATGAAGATGAGGGACCCGATGAAGACGTTGGCACTGGCCAGGTCCTCCTTGAAGGACGCAAAGTTGTCCGGGTCGCGCAGCTCCTCCAGCAGGTAGCCAACAATCTCAAAGCACACGGTCTTGTTCTTGGCGTTGATCGCCTGCACGGCTGCACAGCGGGCGCAGCAGCGCACGCGGCGACGAGGGGTGCAACGACATGTCAGCATTCTGGGCCCAGCCTCTCGCCGCAGCGGCGCTCAAGCCGCTTGAATGCGTGCGGCCATGCACACAGCTTCTGTGCGCGTGCCAAGGACGCGTGCCGCCCACCACCCAGCCGCCCTGACGCTGCTGCCAGCAGCGCAGCCTACGGCGCCTCATCTCTCTGCACTCGGGTGCATGCGCCCCTTGTGGAGCCCTTCAGGCTCACCTGCCGACAGAGCCGACTGGTACTGCGCCTCCAGCACCGTGTACACCACCTTCACCTTCACGCGGCCCGCCACGTTGTCAGGCACCACGCGGCGCAGCTCGGGGTTGGTGCTGGTGAACAGACCCTTGTTGCCGCCCGCTGCGGTGCAGCAGGAGCAACGCCCGTGGAGGCTCAGCGTCGCTAGCTGCGAGCAGCTGTCATGTGAGCTCGCATCTCTGGCTGATTGCCTAGCTAGTCTACTTGCAAAGGGCGGGATCGAAGCCATCAAGGGCTACGGCAGCGCAAGCAGCAGCGACAAGAGTAAGCGCATCTCCCCTTCCGAGACGCCCCTCCCCTGTAACGCTGCAGCCCATTCGGGCATCGACGGACCCACCGTTGAATCCCTCGTCCAGCATGTTAATCTGGACGGCCTTGGGGGCCCCCGCAGTTCCGGGCTTCGGCCCGGTCGCCACATTGCAGATCACCTGCGCGCGACACAGGGCCGTTAGCGCGAGCTGCAGCAAGTATCACAGGGTCCTGGAGAGCCCGTACGCACGACACGCACCTGGCGGGCCCTCCTGCTCACGGGCCTGCTGCACTGCACACCCGCTGCCCTGGGGACCTGCGCGTGACGGAAGGAGAGCACGGCGGGTCTCTCGTGAGTTCCAGGATCGAGCAAAACCGTGAACTTTCTACAGTCCTCCTTCTCCACACAGAGTCCTTCCCACGACGCGCACCTGGGAGGCCCCGGCGCTCCTGCCAGCCCTCTGGGCCGCGTTCGGCCCTGTAAGCTGTTGCATCTTGTAAGATCTTAGTGCCGGTGAGCACTTTAATGCCCCTCACGCAGTGCAGAGCATGATTTGGACGCGGAAGTGCGGCGCAGAGGGGGTGCGCCCCGTCAAATTCCACTGCCGAAATCAACGACTGGCCGCGACGCCATGCGTCGTGCCACCCGCAAGGGCACCGTCAAGGCGATGTGATGGACGTCATTGTCATGCCGCAAACTCTCCACCGTTTTGGGGCCGCCATGGGCACTTGACAAGGGCGGCACTCGGCATCTGGCCACCAGGATAGATGCAAAGCGGCCATGTGGCCTCTACCGACCAGGCCACAGCCGACACCGCACTTTCCATCTGCCCACAACCACACACCGCCGCCCAACACATCGCACGCATGCTGCCTCTGTGGCACACTTTTAATTACGCACCACCAGCCTGTCCTGACATTGCGAGTACGCCGCGTGTGCATTGCAGCACACCATCGCAACACGCCCCTTGCCCCCCCCTTTTTCAAGCCAACAATTGTCGAGCTACGGTGTGCAGGTCTCCTTTGTTGCGGCGTTTCTACACTGACTGCACATGGCACAGAGTCAAGCAACAATCGCAGCCACCTGATTTTCGTCTGTTTGCTCTTTGTGAACCCAGCCAGCCGCTTGGTCAAGGGTCCGGGTTCATGCTTTTTCACACGAGGAGGCAGTATACGTGGGGGAGAATTTCAGATGGCCTGCCGCACACAGGGCACGCAAGCATACAGTTGAAGTGATGAAAGCTTTGGGGGCAGGCGTGTCACACATCTTATGCATGTGGTGTCCATGGACAATCGGGACCCCACGCCACCAAAGCAGGACTTGGAGACCAAGGCGGGTCCCACAAACACCGGGTAGGGCAATTTTGCTGAAAATGTTGATGCTTAGCACACGTGGGAGCGCGTGCAGCTGAGGGGATGGCAAGAACTAGGGAGAGGGACAAAATGCAAACCCATCGTGCGCCTATTTCAGTCTTGACCCGCCCGTGCTGCTTGTGTCTCGTCCCTGCGGGCTCCTGTCAACCCCGCTGAAGCACCAAGTCCCCGCTCCGCCACAGTTTCTGCCCCCTCCCCGGCTTGCTCACATTATGCGTCACATCCCCTCGCGACACTTGCCCCCCCTTCAAAAAGCTGAGGAGCGAGCGCCAGGGAGCCGAGGCCTTGAAGTGCTGTCAGAGGCGGCAGACGCGGTGCAGACGCTGGGTGAGGAGCTGGAGTTGCGAGGCGTTTGTGAGAGAGAGTTTAGAGAGATTCTGTGCCTGGTGCCTATGGTGCACGGCGCTTGTGCGTGGGGGCGGGGGAGGGGGGGCGCCGGGCGCTGTGCAGGTGGGTTGTTGGAAAATGAGAACCGTCCGTGACCATTAGCTCGCGTTCTGAACTACCCATCAACGACCCTCACCACCCAGACCCCAGGCATAAGGGCACCATGACCAGCTGGCGACACCTGCAGCTAGCTGACACGGACGCTGAGAAGCTGCACGAGAAGCACCGCCACCTGTCACCTGCTTGAGTGCATCATCCTTTTCACACAGAGCGCGCTTTCCACTCTTCGTGCTCTGTGAAAGATTTGTGCGTTGCGCCGTCCGTAGCACACGCCTGGGCGCGGCTTCTGGCCATAGTGACCGAGGTAGTCATGGTGCTTGTGCCTGCACGTTCCTCAGCACGCGTCCTGAGTGCCGTGGTCGATAGCGCATTGTTGCTTGGTGCTTGACAGAGGATTTTGCCTTCTGAAAAACCCGCAGGTGCTGTCCCTGTGGGGCAGGTTTTGAGCTGCCGCTGGCGAATTTTCTCCCCAGCAATCATTCATCTGTACCAGCAGCATCAGCACACAACAGCAGCAGGCTCGGGAAAAGTGAATGCAGCAATATGAGCACCAGCACCAGCAACAGCACCAGCACCAGCGGCAGCAGTACCCTGAAGGGAGTATTGCTCAGAAGGGGAGGAGGCCCATCGCAAGGATGTTGCTAGGTCGTCCAGGGCGATTTGCAGGCGCGCGTGTGGCCCGGCCTGAGGAGCGCGGTACAAGGGGTATGAGGCTGTCAACAGAACTAGTGATTGTGAAAGAATTCAATGATGTTGCCAAATTTGTGTTGACATCGAGGTTGCACATCCAAAGGCAGCGGCGTGTGGCTGCTGGGTGGCCGCAGGCTGCGGCGGTGCGCATTCGATCGGTCTGCCGCAAGTGTCGCGGGTGCAATGCAGCCCATTGCGGGCGTACCATTGCTTCAGTATATTTGCGTTTTATATTCGATACGGCGAGGTTGTCGCAGTGCGTCGCAGCAAAACACAGCTGCACCGCAGCAGACATGCTCGCGCAGCGCTTCTTCACGCAGCAGCGGCCCGTTGTGGCCAGCAGACAGAGCAGGGTGCAGCCTCGCATCGAGGCTAGCGTCCGCGGCCTGGCGCCCCTGGTGGGTGGGGTGGAGGCGCAAATAGCCCAGCAATGCCGACGATGGACCGACCGTTCTGTCCGTCCTGTTGGCGATACGAGCTTATTGTTTGAGGCCCCTGGCTGGCTGACGGCCCTCAATGAGGCCGGGGCGCACGAGCGCCACGGCGCCGCTTCAAGTCTGCATGGCTGGTGCCGCCGCCTGGGGAGTTTTGCCATGCCGACGCCACGGCTGGCCCTATTCGTCATGCTTCCCGCTCTTCAGGTTGATGAGCTGAAGGCGAAGCAGGCGAAGAAGGACCTGCCGGATGTGCAGATTGGCGACAGCGTGCGGATCGGCCTCCTGGTGCGCCTGTGTTGATGTGTGCGAGTGCACGCATGCGTGCGTGTGTATGTGTATGCATTTGTGAGCGCGCGCGTATGACATGTGCGTGCATGTACATGTGCGTGTATGCAGATGTGTTTTGTTATTGCGTGCCTGTGTTTCTGTGTGTTTTGTGAGTCGTCCTGAGTCAGTGCGTCTTCGTGCGTCAGCATGTGGGTAGATAGGTGCGTGCAGCTGCATGCGGCTGCGCATGCGTGTGTGTAAACCGCTCACGAATGCCACAATGCAGTGCTTCGCATGGAGTGGCAGGGAGCCCGGGTGCAGGAGAGCCTGCTGAGCAGCAGGGTCAGCGCGCGCGGCGCGTGTGGCGGAGCCGAGGTGATCGACACCCTGCGCCGGCGCGTGGAAGGGTGCGGGACCTCAGTGACTGACCGTTCTCACCCCTGGTGCACCTTTGTCGGCACCCACAGGTCCAGGAGGCCAAGAGCTCTCGCGTGCAGCGGGTGGATGGCACCGTCATCGCCATGGCGGGCAGCGGCAGCACCAAGACCTTTGTGGTGCGGCGCATCTTCCAGGTGCGCCAAGGAACGGGGGAGGAGCGAGGGCACACCTGGACGGCACAGGGGCAGCTCGACGCTGTGCTTTGAAGCAAAGCGCTTGTTGCGTTGCGGCCTGCTGCGCTTTGCGTTTACCTGAAATGTCGGCAGTGCTTTCGTGTGAGTGGAGATGGTTTTGAACTGGACAAATCCCAGATTGACGGCATCACACACGCGACACTGGCTCCAAGACTCCAGGCTGCCCATTGGTTGTGCATGGTGGCATCAAGGGATGGGAAAAAGTGCGCCACGCAGTTACCCTCTCGCATTACACCACGCCACCCGTTGCCTGCAGGGCGTGGGTGTTGAGCTGAGCATCATGCTGCACTCCCCGGTGCTGTCCTCCGTGGAGATTGTGCGCCGCGGCAAAGTCCGCAGGTGTGGCTCAGCACATGGGGGTGCTCAACTGGGGGAGTTTGGGAGGGTCCTGCTGGCAACGCAGTGCCGCATGCGCGCCTGCATCAGCAGAATGAGCAGACACATAAGAGGTGTAGCTTTGTGCTTCTGGTGCCTGGTCAAACAGCAACACCAAAGACGTGCCACCGGCCAGTGGGCGCCACTTGAGCTGTGGAACAGCAGCGGTGTCGGCCTCTGCCCGTCGCACTCACATGATGTGGCAGAGGGCGCAGTCTGTGGGCGTCGCCGTTCCCTTACCCACCCACACACCCTGTCAC